AAAAAAAAAAAAAAAAAAAAAAAATTGAGTATCTACTTTATGCCAGTCGCTGTCTTTAGCCTGAGGATACAGTGGTGACCAAGACAGATAAAATATCTGCCTTTATGGAGTTTCTACTATCGTGGGGGAGATTAAGTGACACAGTATAATTAATTATATATACATGATATAACAGAATTTTAGGTTGTGATAAACGCTATGAAGAAAAATAGAGCTGGATAAAGGGACAAGGAATGATGGCACTAGTGTGCAGGGAGAGGTCAGTTCTAGACAGGAGGGTCAGGGGCTTTTCTGAGAAGGAGACACTTGAGCGGAAACTTTGGCTATCAAGAACTAGATAAAGAAAGTTCTGGAGAGGAGCCAGTAGGTGTCTAGGCTCTGAGTCAGACATAAGCTTGCTAAGTTTGAAAAGCTAAAGAAAGCCATGGCTCATGCTATTCCAGCCACATCTACCTTGGGTAGTTTATAACAAATGTCAACTGTTTTTCTCTCCACCTAAAAACTCTGTACCCCAGCCTGGGCAACATGGCGAAACCCTATCTCTACAAAAAAATACAAAAATTAGCCTGGCGTGGTGTCACACGCCTGTAGTCCCAGCTACTTGGGAGGTGGAGGCAGGATGATCACTTGAGCTAGAGAGATGGAGGTTGGAATGAGCCCAGACCATGCCACTGCATTCCTGGGTGACAAAGTGAGACCCTGCCTCGAAAAGAAAAAAAAAAAAAAGCAAAACAAAAAACAACTCCGCACCTTTCCAGGACAATTTCTTACATTACCTCATCCAGACCCCCAATACTGGCTTCAAATCCTAGCGAGTCTTCAAGACTGGTCAAGTTCTGCATCTCCCATTCCTTGAACTGCTCTGATACTCTAAACTATAATGCACAATATAGTACTTAGTTATGAACAGGTCCTTAATAGGATATAGTTTCTGCATATACCACCAATTCTGTAGTAGTAACTGGGAACTCTTTTTTTTGAGATGGAGTTTTGCTCTTGTTACCCAGGCTGGAGTGCAATGGTGCGATCTCAGCTCACTGTGACCTCCGTCTCCTGGGTTTAAGCAATTCTCCTGCCTCAGCCTCCCGAGTAGCTGGGACTATAGGTGTGTGTCACCAGCCCAGCTAATTTTTGTATTTTTTTTTTTTT